TTTTTTTTTGTTCGGTTCCACAACTAACTTTAAACCCATTTATTTCAAAGTTATCATGAGCAAAGACAGAAGAAAACCCAGCAAAGAAAAAAAAAGCTATATTAAGGAAATATTCAAAAGTTTGATAGCTTGTCATCGGATTTATGTTCATCTGTTCTTTCACCAAAACATCACTTGTTCATGAGGGACTATACCTACTTTTCTCTGTATGCCTTCCAGAATTTTACGGCTTCACCATTATTCTTTCCAGTCGTCTCCAGGTCAACTGATTTCTAGCCCATTACCCTCTATTCAGTCAGCAGCTTTTAAGTCCATTCCAAGTCTAATGTTAAGAGCAGAGAAAGCTTAGATTCTCGGACGAAGATGAAATATTGAAAAATTACACATTCTTTTTAAATACATTTACAGCATACTTTATCGTCGAGAGCTCTGTTTTGAACAGAAAGTAATGACGATTCGAGCATATACGGATCTCGTCTCTCCATAAAAACAAAGAAAAAAAAAGCCCCTCAAGTGGCACAGCGGTATGTCTGCGGACTTAAACGCTAGGAACCGGGTTTCGATACCCTTGGTGGCAGAGCACAGATAGCCCTTGTGTAGCTTTGTGCATAGTTAAAACAAACAAACAGACCATAAAAAAAGTAAAAATAAATAATGGTAAAAAAACTTAATTGATATAATATCCAATTACTCTTTCTTTCCGGTCTGAGTCTTATTAAATTAATGACACGTTTTTCTTTGTATTTCATTCAGTGATGATGATTTTTTTAAACTGAGTTCTTTCTAGATTTATTCCAGATCATTAGCAAGAAAGGGGATGATGGAGGTTGTTTGATTGTGAAACATCGTACTGACCTGTGTTAGGGGTTGATTGTTGTGTAAAGGTATGTTGATAGGCCAACATCATACTGAGCTTAAATAGGGCTCTAGCTGTTGATTGTTGTGTAAAGGTATGTTACAAGTGGGTTGATAGGCCAACATCATACTGAGCTTAAATAGGGCTCTAGCTGTTGATTATTGTGTAAAGGTATGTTACAAGTGGATTGACAGGCCAACATCGTACTGAGCTGAATTAGAAGTTTAGTTGTTGATTTTTGTATAGATGAACATCGTATTGAGCTGAATAAGCGGTTTAGTTGTTGATTATTGTGTATTGATACGTTATGCGTTGATAGTTAAACATCGTACTGAGCTGAATAAGCGGTTATTTGTTGATTATTGTGTATTGATACGTTATGCGTTGATAGTTAAACATCGTATTGAGCTGAATAAGTGGTTTAGCTGTTGATTATTGTATAGATGAACATCGTATTGAGCTGAATACTTTTTAAATATTTTGAATTTTGTGGTTAAATGTTGACAATTATTGTATAGAACTGGCATTCAGATTGTTGGCCAATGAATAAATCTGTGTTACTTGTGGCGTGAATGCTGAATTACTCTCACCATTGAAACATAGCGTAGAATTTGTATAGGGCTGGATTATTAGTGGAGTTAATAGTATATCATTGTAGGTAACTGAATAACATTGGATAGATATAGATAATTGTTAGATGTGCACTGCTGATGGTTTCAACAATGATTACTTGATTATTGATTATCTGAATTCTGAACACTCTATAGAGCTGTCTTGTTGGTGACATGACTGTTTAATACTGCATTGAGTTATATTCTAAAAAATATTTTTTATCATATTAACTCAGGGTTAAAATATATTATTAAAACGCAAATCAAAAGAAAATCTAAGAGAGAAAAGTAGACCCAAATTAAACCTATAAATGAGTGAGCAGAGTTAGTAACGTAACGTTGTATTTCAGGAAATAAATTAAAAGAAATGAAACAAACAAGTTTAATACTTTAAACCTTGAAGAGTATTTATCTGCTGTGTACAGTCACATACTTAGAATCAATAGAGAGACTGAATAAGGTATTCAACAGATGAAGAGTAGGTGTTCGGAAAAGAAGAGGGAACTGAAAATTGAGTCTATTACTAACGTACAAAAAGTATTAAAGTTATTCATAAACGAAAAAAATGTTTTAGAAATTAGAAGAGGTTTTACTGAGCGAGTTAAGTAGAAACTGCGATTGATGGTAAGGAAAGGATAGGCACATGTGTGAGACCTGAGCTCAGGCTATGCTGAGTTGAGTACTAGCTGAGACTTCTAGGATCTTCCCACAAATAGCTTGAAGTTAAGTTTACGGACTTCCTACGCTACAATACAGGGTTCGATTCCCTGCGACGGTCAGAGCCCAGAGAGTCTATTGTTTAGTTTTGCGCTAAAACAACAACAACGATAATCCAGGGGTTGCACCGCCAGGCGCTGACCCCTCATGTATACCTTGTTATAAGTAAGTAAATTCAGGTATCTCACCTTTACGTGCCCCACTAGTTAAGTTCTCGAAACTAGTTTTGAGCCTTTATTGAATTTATTCATCTTACTGATGTAAAAGATAGATCGTCTTCTTCATTTGAGTAAATCTTGAGAAATTTCAATAGAAATTCACCAAATCCATCTATTTTCTGTTACGTTCTTACTCATTCTGGTTAACTACAGAATACGTCAATTTACGTTTCGTTTCATGGATTAAGAAAGCAAAATTTGGGGTTGTTCTTTTTGTGTTATAGCCGACAAAACATTCCAGGTTGTTTCATTGGTGAAACTTTATAGGTGCCAAAATTTATAAACGCTTAATATATTTCAGCGTATTTAGTTTGAAAAGAAAATTCTTTATATAAGACGTTAATTTCCAACTACGTAAGTTTATAAATACTAATTTAGGTGTATCGAAATAAGTCAAAACGCAGTCGCATAAATGAGAGAACGACGCTATTATTAAAACTATATAAATTTGAAAATTAACAATATGGATTGTTTCCTACACATATTTCAACGATGCTAGCTAAGAAGCTTCACTACGTCTAGGACGTTGTTTACATTGAAAACTACTATCTCTCCCCCTTTATTTTTCAGCTAGTATCTAGCTAGTAAAACATGTTTCTGTAGTTTTGTGAACATCATTACATCAACCATTCTTTCTAGTGCATAATTTAACTCAAAGATCAAATCTACGGATTAATTCGCTTGACATCATTCCTAGAATCGACACCGAACGTTAATCTAATAGTCATATGCCGTGAATTACAGAATAGAACGAATGGCCTGTAAAGAAATATCGAAGTGATAAGTAGAGTGATTACGGACTAATAAGCAGCTTAGTTTTAAGTCATCTTAAACGAAGACAGAATAATGATTAATAACGAATTAAAATTGATGTTCATATTAAAAAAATTGAAAATCGATTTTTAAGATAAGTTATACTCGTGTGGAAATTAAAGTATACCAATCTGTTTGGTCGGTGGTTCAGCAATAATAATGCTAAAATAGGGTTCCGATACCCACGGAGGGCACAGCATCGATAGCCTATTGTGTAGCTTTATGCTTACCAATAAACAAAAGAAACACTAATCTCAGTACAACTTTACAATCAAATTTAAAGACTAACTTGTTATTTAACGGTGCAAAATACACATCAGAATATTTAGTCAATTTAAACTACTTTTAAACTTGTATTCTTAGATTATGTTTCATGTACATGAGGTGGATTCTAACCTTGAGTGGGAGGTATGGATATATGAGGCACTGTTGCGTTCTTTATAGATAGTGTCTGGCTGTGTATTAGAGGATAAGATGAATGGGGTAGTGACTAGCTCTGTACCTACTGTGAGATGAATGAGGTAATGTCTGACTCTGTATTGAAGGATTAGCTAAATGTGGCATTGCCTGACTCCGTATTAGAGGATTAGATTAATGTGGTAGTGCCTGACTCCGTATTAAAGGATTAGATTAATGTGGTAGTGCCTGACTCTGTATTGGAGGATTAAATGAATAGGGTAGTATCTGACTCTATATTGGAGGATTAGATGAATAGGGTAGTATCTGACACTGTATTGGAGGATTAAATGAATAGGGTAGTATCTGACTCTGTATTGGAGGATTAAATGAATAGGGTAGTATCTGACTCTATATTGGAGGATTAGATGAATAGGGTAGTATCTGACTCTGTATTGGAGGATTAGGTGAATAGGGTAGTATCTGACTCTATATTGGAGGATTAGGTGAATAGGGTAGTATCTGACTCTATATTGGAGGATTAGGTGAATAGGGTAGTATCTGACTCTATATTGGAGAGGCCTTCATCAGGCCAATCTATTACTTCATCAGATGAACACACGAAAGTGTAAGCTATTATTATGAATACTATTTTCATTGCTTATACAAAAATACCCTTATTGTAAACATTCATGGTAAGATTTGTGTATCAAGTAATAAAATATCAGTACTCGTAATGTTAGTGCCTTAATAACTCGTTGTCTGAAAAAAAATGTTATCACGATAGGCTATTATAACTTGCTTAAGTAAACAAACAAAAAACATATTTTTTGCCTGTAATATAGATTATAATATTTTTAGCATTTTACAAGAAATTTGTAGATTTGCGAGTAAGAGTTCTGACGAAAAATTTACTATTTTCATGGAAGTTTTCAAATACAGTAACGATACTCAGAACTTTCAATGTTGGTTGTTTATTAAAAATTTATAAACAAGTTGTTCAAGTTAATGTTTCTTTGATTCAAGATCAAACATGAATAGCCTTCATCCCTCTCTGAGCAGTTACATATCAATAGCGTTCTTTCACAATTCATAAAATATTATATGAAAGTTATTAAAATTCAACTACTACTGAACGTACACATTCCAGATCAGAAACACAGAAATACCCGACATAAAGAGTAAATATGTTTACTTATGAATACATGCAAATGATTTTTTTTATCTTTTTTCAGAGCAACGACATATTAATGTTACTCATTCTAAAAGCGCTATTAAATCTGTGGTGATATTCTCAAGAAAAACAACAACTTAATTACACATATACGCACAATGAAAACTAAAAGTAAATTAATGAAAACATGAGCTAACCCTTTCTTGTTAATTTTTTCACGCAGAGGTTGAAAGTGTGGCTTTGATATTTTCTCCATTTAGTGATTCTAGGAATTTAGTGATTACTTCTGGTAGCTTGGGATCTAGGCTTAGCCAACGATGCCCACAACCATACGACCCAGTTTCATCAATGTTAACAAACTGAACAGAAGACTTCATATGACTGGGTCTATTTTCTTGAGCCTTTTGGTAAAGCTTCTCTCCGAGACTGTAAGGGACCAACCAGTCGCCACGTGCATGAAGAAATAAAATTGGCTTCTTTACAGCTACAATATGCTCTTCAGGATTGAAAAATGTATCTTTATCTTTCAAAGGCTCCACTATAAGGGTGTCAAAATAAGGTAAGAAACTTAAGAAAGCAAGTGGTGGATATGTCACAGCTACATCGTCAAGAGTATTAAAAGGCGCTTCTAAAACAAGTCCTGCTACAGACTCTCCATCTTTTAATAATTCATCAACGAGACGAAGACCAACAGCAGCGCCCATGGAATGCCCCCATATTACAATGCGTTTTTCGCTGACAAATTTTCGTAGCCACCAGTATACAGCTTTGCTATCATTGGTCATTCCGGTAGCAGTAGGAGTTCCAGAAGAGTCACCAAAACCACGATAGTCGAAAGTTACCACATGACTATCCACCTGACTTTGTGACAGGACATTGTACATACCGAGTCGATGGCTTGCTCCTCTGTTCTCGATAATTCCGTGGAGATAAAGAAACACGGGTCTATTATCTTCGAACTCTGTCTCTAGAACTAAGCCCTTTTCACATTTTGTTGGTTGACTTTTTGGCAAGATATGCCAGATTCCGAGGGTTACTCCTTCCTCTACACCCAAGTTATGGTTAATTGTACAGTTTAAATTCAAATTCTGAGGAGAAGACAGCGAAGTATACGGTGGCCAATTTAGGAGAGGTCCAAAAATATACTGGCATCGAACCCAACTAGAAAAATAAAATAACAAAGGAAATAATCCAAAGATGATTAAACCAATCATTAAAACTCGATGTCCCTGTTGACATAATTGTTTTCCACTAGCTGAGCTTTTAACACCATCTTTATAAGGATGAGAAGGTATGGTTTCAATCGCTTTTGAGTCCGTATCCTTATTTCTAATTTCATTGGTTTTTCGTCTCTGATGCATTTTGTGAAAATGATGATATTTCAGACTACTAGATAGTGAGAAAAAAAGAGAATTAGTTTACACCAATTATGCTTTTAAAATTACTTGCACTGTCTTATCATCTGCCAGTTATTGTTCTTGAAAACCAACAAAATTATAAAATATGAAGAAAACTTAATCTCCGAATTTTCAGTCACTTTAATATCGTGCTTGACGTTTGTTTACCGAAGTAATATTAAATTTAAAGTTAAGTTAGATCATTAATCAGTGCGAATCATAAGCTATTCGAGTTTATAACAAATTACAGTCAATAATACGAATGTAACATTATTTCTACTCTAGTCTGCATATATTTTCATAGTTGTATAGTTAGTATGATTATTTATAATATTTATATTATTACTGTTATGTATCCTGATACTTTAGTGAAAAATCTCAATAAGCCATTATACACGTATACATAACAACACCATATTATTTATCAGATTTTTATGTAATTGCGAAGCAGCTCGTACATATAAAAATCACCCTTTTAAATAGTGCTCAAACTCTTTATAGCTTGAAATGTTCATCATGCAGAATCACAGCGATAAATAAGCGTCACGCATGTACTGTGATTAATCATCAAACTTCTTATTTACTCAGATATATTACATTGCAGTAAAATTTATTGTACTTATTTTTCCATGTATACCCTACCCTCAGCGTTTTGGTATAACTTAATCATCCTGTAAACAGTCTAAACTTTTCCTAAACTTGGTAGAAACGGTGAATTTAGGTGGAAATATATATACACGATATGATGAGTTTATATCCCATGTTCTCACGCAATTACTCCCATTAAAAACGGGGTATATCCAGTAAGAAAACTTTATATTACAACAACATTTTTTCAAACTTGGTGTTTAGTGATGTTTACTAGACAGTGTCACCTCCCACATATTATAATACATAACAACCTCTTCAAACAGAATAGAATATTGATTGTAATTAATTATTCTTGTCATAAATATTAGTATTAGTGTGGTTGAAATATTGTTATACACTTTTTTATCTCTTGAGAAAAACAAACAAACTCTAAGGAAAAAAATGTAGTGTTAAAAATATTATAGACCTAATATCTTATGTAAAGCATAATTCATTATAATCATATTTAGCCAGCTTGGAAAAGGCTTTAACACTATGAGAATATAATGCTATTGAAGAGATGAGCTTGTACACATGAAAACAGTGGGGATATATCGCAACACATTTGACCTTTATAATCATACTTAGCCAGCTTGGAAAAGCTTTAACACTATGAGAATATAATGTTATTGAAGAGATGAGCTTGTACACATGAAAACAGTGGGGATATATCGCAACACACTTAACCTATATAATCATACTTAGCCAGCTTGGAAAAGGCTTTAACACCATGAGAATATAACGTTATTGATATGCTGAGCCTGTACACATGAAAACGGTAGGGATATATCGCAACACACTTAACCTAAATAAACATACTTAGCCAGCTTGGAAAAGGCTTTAACACTATGAGAATATAATGTTATTGTAGTGATGAGCCTGTACACATGAAAACGGTGGGGATATATCGCAACGCGTTTAATCTTTATTCACAAACTCCACGTGCAAGATAAAACTAGAACTGTAACAACCATTAAACGGATACCTAACAAACTTTTGATAACGAAAGCTATTTATGTTAGTGCTTCCGTTAGGTTCGAACATGTATAAGGTATTACATGTCACTGTGCATCGTATTTTTTTTTTTTATCAAATATGTTCAATTACTTTATTTTCTTGAAGCAGCTTATATGTGAAGCTTTCATGCACAGAAACATTCTTAAACTGAATCTGGGTTGTTTGTCGGTTTTTATCGATGGACAAAAGACTTGACTTTAAAATGCCAAGATAAAAACAAATATATTCACAGCAAATCAATTACTGAATTTTGATATTCTATACTCACACAGTATATCATATATATAATATATATATTAATTTTGAATTCACAGAAAACATAAAAACATACGTTTCTATTTTTTTTACCATTATTATTTGCTTTAATAGTAGAAATTGTAAACGAGAAATCAATAAAAAGATGTATAAATAGATCCCAGGTGACGTATGAGCTCTGGTGTAAATGTGAACTCTGATATGGATGTAAACTTTGACATGGATATCTTCCTAAAAGCAACAGAGCATTCGGAGTTACCTCGCTTAAAGGAATTTATATAGATCATCACATCACTCAGTTTTATACGCACTAATTCAGACGATGTTAATAGCACATTTTAGGTAAAATAAGAACAATCAACAGAGCATTAACTTGTAAAAAACTGTTTTTGTAACTTCCTACAATTTAGTAAATGGTTAAATGATCTTTACATGACGTAAGTTTAAGTTAAAGAGGGCGCTCTGGAAACTTAGAATGGATCTGTTACTACGTTAACCCGGACATAGAGATTTCCAAGCTCCGTGGAGTAACAAACATGTGGAGGTTAGTGACACGATTAAACTTCACATTACTCACAAGTTAAGCTACGTGTAATGTGTTGATGATTCGCGGGGAAATACGTATTTATTTTATGTTATCTTAGCCGCTGTCTAACGATATGGGTTCAGATACCTGATTTATTATCATGATAAAGTTATCTATACTAAGCGAAAAACAATAAAAAAAGGGAGATGTTTTTGGCTTTCGAAAAACATGGAAATAACTCTGAGGTAGAAATAAGTATACGTGACCTAGCCCCGAAAACCTTCTTGTGTCTTATTAGTTTATTCACTGCCGTAGGGCGGGGCTAGTAGTTGAGGACGGCACACTAATGTAGACGGACGTACTGACCCATATTTTGAAATAGCTTCCTGAATAGTTTTGCTTTTCTAGATTTGGTGCACTACACTAGCAGGTATAAAATGGGATACAATAAAACTTTACTTTTGTATAGATGTGTCGAAAATCGTGAAAGAAATATTTCTTCTATTAAGCTAAAGTTACAAATCGAGTTCGATGCGACGGTAGATCACTAAGTCTCTGTTAGACATTTTAATTTTGTTATGAATTCATAACGGACATTTTTGATTACTTATTTTTGGTATATAGATAGCCCAGTTATTTGCTTTATTAGAACCGACAGAATGTTATTGATACACCGTATATCCGACTCTTCGAAAGTCTCACATGTGAAACAAGAGCAATCAAAGAGATTGCACATCCTTGCCCTGCCACAAATCTTTGGATTTTTGGTTTCAATGTGCGCCTGAAATTCGGCGCCAATCCGATCATTTTTTACACAGTTATTATCAACAAACTGAGAAAATGCTCTGTAGCTCCATTATAAAAAAATATTTCAAAGTTATCCAGATCCAGCTGTATCTGTACCAGATTTGAGGAGGGCCGTCCTATGGGGACACACTATCTCCTGTAAAAACTTCACGTACACGTAAATCGGTTTATTATTTTTCGAAATACGCTCACGGGCATAAATAAACACGGACCTAAATGCAATACCCTCGCCCCCCTTCGGGGGTGAAGATAAAAAAAAGCTGAGCAGATATAAATGTTACAGTCCACAGCGTCTCGCATCTAAGTCAACATGCTTTCCCCCCTCTTTCATTACAAGCAACCGCTTCTCACAGCTAGCTACAAATAGCTAAATAAAGACAAAACAAAAGAAAAAACAGATCACTGAGGTGATTATTCAACATGTGCATGTAGTTGAAATTCCTGCCCCCCCCCCATAATGGTAAGAAATACAAAGAAAATAACTGATATATAAAAAACTTACAGGCCACAGGCATGTAAAACACTTGTAGGACACATGCATATAAAACATAAATACATAAAACAATTGTAGAGCATATACCTATAAAACATTTACAGGCTACAGGTGTATAAAACATTTACAAGACACATATATGTATAAAACTTATAGTACACAAACATATAAAACACTTGCAGGACACAGGCATATACAACACATAAGACATACGCATATAAAACACAAAACAGGTATATAATTACATATATATAAAGCTAAGCTACAAACGTATAAAATACTCACAGGACACAGATATATATAAACAAGCACATATGTAAACACTTGTAGGACACAAACTTATGAAACACAGAAAACACGAACATAAAAAACAAAGAGGCCAACAGAACACTTAAAGAACACATGTACAGATAGAACACAAATATGTTCAACGCAAAACACAAGCCTATAAAACACTTGTAGAACACAATCATATAAAACACGTGAAAGGTTACGAGTGTATACACAGGTAAAGAATGTACTCGCTCAGAACTAAGAAGATTACAAGCCATTTAGATATCTAATAGCAATTATTTCCACAAACATTCAGTTTCACTACAGAATCGTTTTAGGAAAACACGTTCTAATCTGATAGAAATGAACGAGTAGGATAGACTGGGCTGATTGTTACAGAATAAGTTGTTACAGTTCTCACATTTCCAAAAGTCCTGTATGGATAGAGTTGTGTACATTAGCACGTGATCAGCCCTTCTCAGCGTTACTTATCAGTTAATACAAGAGTCCTTGGAAAGTTAGGAACAAAAAATAGATGTTTTCACCTTCTGAAAAGTTTTTATTGCGCACAGAAGTTATCACGTTAATACTTATCCTACTGAAACACGCATGGAGGCATAGAGAATATGTATACACAGCATTTATTATGTGAGATGTGGCAATGATGAATGATCTGTTTTATAGTGTTTATGGATGTAAATAAGCTTTGTCGACATGTAGTAGCACTAGTTAATACACATTGTCAAAATACAGTTGAAGAAATTAGCTACTTATTAAATCCTGAGAAGAAGATTAATAGAGTTATCCATTGGGTTCAGTTCTGGTTTATAAGCCATAATGGCCAGAGATTCTTGAACTATAAGAGTTCGTTCATGAGAAGTTCAGAAAAATACTAAACTGGTCTGTTAGAACAACGGCATCACGTCCATCTTAAGCTTGCTCGAATGTAAGCGAGTTTTTGTAACTC